ATTTCTTAATATTTTGAAATGGCTTTTATTTTTAGATTTGAAGTTCTACTGATTTCGTTATGTGTTTTGGCACTCTTATTAGTTTTTTTTAATATATTTCTATTTTTTATATTTAGCTTTATTTTTATTTCAGTTTTAGTTTTATCCATATTAGCTTACTTTAGCTTATTTCAGTCAGCTTTTAAGGCACCATTTATCATTTTCATTTAAGATTTTTTTTTTTTTTTTTAGTTTGTGTTTCATTTCAATTGTAGTTTAAGTTTTAGTAATTTTGTCATATTTATTAGTTTTTTTTTTTTAGATTTGTATTTATAATATTTAGCTTTATTTTTGTTTATTTTAGGTTTAGTTTTAAGTCATTTTAAGTACTAACTTCTTCTTTTTTCAGTTAGCTGCCAAGGCACCATTTCTAATATATTTTTTAAGTTTTTCATTTTATTTACATTTTAATAGTTTTAGTCATTTTATGAGCTTTTGTAATTTTATTAGCTTTGGATTTTTTTTTTCTTTTTCTTTTGAGTTTTAGTATTTTAAGTACTTAAACTTAAACTTGTTTATTTCAGTTAGATTCCAAGGCAGCATTTCTAATTTTCTTTTAAGTTTTCTAAGTTTCAGTGTTTCATCTAATATTTGTTTTATTTCAACTTTTTATTTCAGTTACCAAAAATGATTTTTAATTGTTAGTTGTTAATTTAGTTACTCCATTTCTAATATCTAATATGTATGCTTACAGGCTTTTTTATGGAGCCCACAGTCTTCACAGACGTGGAGGACCACATGTTCATTGCCAAAGAGGAATCATTTGGCCCTGTTATGGTGGTATCCAAATTCAAAGATGGGTAAGCTGGCTTTTTGGACCTTAGTAGGACTTTTTGTGTCAGTCTGACCTGCAGGATGATCTAAATTCAAGGCAGGAGCTCATTTAAATAACGTCTAATATGGTTGTTTGATGCTCATCAGTGATGTAGATGGAGTTCTGAGCAGAGCCAATAACACAGAGTTCGGCCTGGCCTCTGGAGTCTTCACCAGGGACATCAACAAGGCCATGTACGTGAGTGAGAGACTGGAGGCGGGAACTGTGTTCGTCAACACCTACAACAAAACCGATGTGGCGGCTCCCTTTGGAGGCTTCAAACAGTCCGGGTTTGGGAAAGACCTTGGTAAGAGTGAACAAAACACACACTGTATCATTACTCTGTATCACTTTAAAACCAGTTTCATGACCATGAGGATCATGTGCATGTGTATACAGGTGAGGAAGCCCTGCATGAGTACCTGCGGACTAAAGCTGTGACAGTGGAGTATTGAATGAAACCTGTGGTGGAAAAGACTGCATGGCCGAGACTGTCTTAAAGCAGGTTTAATAGAAAAAGCATTTCCTGCCAAGACTACACTGATGTGCCTACATTTTTTATTGCCCTTTTTTTCTGGAAATGTTTGGAATAGGGCAGAACTGGAAAAATGGCAAAAGACCTAGGGTTGGGTATCTTTTGAATTTTATCGATTCCGATTCCGATTCTGCTTATCGATTTTCGACAAATATGAAAGAAGTCAGTTTCGGTCCGGAACAACCTTTTCTAGAGTGGAAATACACGGAACGGTTCGAGAACGGACACAAACCGGGAAGCCGTACCGTCCGCGACCTCTGTTCTCTGTGCTCGCACTTCGTGTGCGCTGCACACAAACAGGGCGCAAGTTCTTTCCGTTTTAATCGTATTAAAATGCGAACGCAGGAATCGTTAAGCAGAATCGAAATGCACGCGTCTTATCGAATACCCGGTTCTTGGAAATTTGGAACCGGTTCTCAATACCCAACCCTACCTCCAAGTGAACCCAAGGACACAAGATCAACCACAAATCAGATCATGCATTGTTTTTAACTAGTAGACACTGAAATATCATACTGTGGTGAAGTGAATTATCAAATTGAGTCAGTTTCAGGAAGTAACCACAACACTATAATGATCTTGAGCATTTCCTAACCATGTTTCCAGTGATAAGTAATTTGTCTGTCCACACTGAATGTGAAACTGCTGCATGATGATTTTGCCGTGATGCTGAAACAAAGATATTAACCAAGTAACCAACAAAATGTCCTGTCGCTCATATCACAACTGGTTAGGACAAAACTGCTCATTTACTGTTTAAAGTTCGGGGTCAGTAAGATTTTTTGTCTTGTGCTCACCAAGGCATTTATTTTACCAAAAATACAGTAAAAAGAGTAATGTTGTGAAATATTATCACAATTTAAAATAACTTTTCTAGTTTAATATATTTTAAAATGAAATTTATTCCTATGATGCAAAGCTGAATTTTCAGCATCATTGCTCCAGTCTTCACTGTCGCATGATTCTTCAGAAATCATTCTGATATGCTGATTTTGTAAATTTCTTATTATAAATTGTTGAAAATAGTTGTTCTGCTTAATTTTTTTGTGGAAACGGTGATTTTTCAGTTTTTTCAGGATTCTATGATGAATAGAAAGGTTTTTTGTAACATTATAAATGTCTTTACTGTCACTTTTCATCTATTTAATGCATCCTTGATTAATAAAATTATTTTCTATATTAAAAAAAAATAAATATAAACTAAAAATAAAGTATATATCGTTGGGAAACGATAGAAACACTATTCTTTTTGAAAGGAAGCTATTTATTTTGTACAAAAATATGGGTCATGCTTGATAGTAGCTTACTCTTGAATTCAATACAGTGTGAAGTATTCTGACACATTCTTGTTAAAATTACTGAAAATATCTGTTGCCAAATGTTCGCTAAAGATTCATGATGCTTTTGTTATGCATGAACACTTCAAGCAATGACATGTATTTGACAAAACATGAAATGTTATCATATGCAGATGTTAATATGAGTATTTTAGGTTCTGTTTAAGCTGTCAGTCATACTGGAAGTGTCATATTGCCAAACAGTCTTACACACAACAGTATTTCAACTTTATATCAACCACAAACACAATTTAAGGAGCGTCAGGAACCCATTTTTACAATAAAGAATGTAAATTGCAAAAACTGTTTTTCTTGATTGAAACACTGAACTTTTAATATAGTTAATGCCAGAATACAATCCATTTTCAAGTATAATCAACTGAGACAACAAAAGAGAGCGACTTTTAGTCTCCCCAAAAATGAAAATTTGCAGAACATGTACTCACCCTTGGGTCATCAAAGATGTAGATGATGTTTCTTCATCAGAACAGTTTGGAGAAATTTAGCGTTACATCACTTGCTCACCAATGGATCCTCTGCAGTGAATGGGTGCCGTCAGAATGAGAGTCCAAACAGCTGATAAAAACATCACAATAATCCACAAGTAATCCACACGACTCCAGTCCATCAATTAACATCTTGTAAAGTGAAAAGCTGTGTGTTTGTAAGAAACAAATCCACCATCAAGATGTTTTTAACTTAGCGTTGCATCCACTGGTGATCAAGTGATGTAATGCTAAATTTCTCCAAATCTGTTCCGATGACGAAACAAACTCATCTACATCTTGGGTATCCTGAGGTTGAGTAAATTTTTAACTTTTTTTTGGTGAACTCTTCCTTTAATCGTTCACCCTCTGGATTAAAACATCTTCAAAGAACATGAAATGACAGTCTGCCAGCTCACCAGGACATAAAATCACTGGTCTGTGCTCATTCCAAACAGCAACAGACTTGAAAGGGTTATATATTTCTTTAATAGGCACAGAAATGGCCTGGCGTGAGTCCAATGCTCTCCCAGAGTTCCAGTTGGCAGTATGTGTTCTCTCACTCGCCCTCTTTCCCCAACACCTGGATGTTGGCCTTTCTCTTTCTGTCACCTGGAAGTTTGAGTGTCTTTGCAGTGACAGTTTGCACCTCTTCCTCTGAGCTGTCTTCCTCTGAACATGATGATAATGATGATGACGACGACGACTCATCTTCTTCGCTGCTGTCTGTTGGAGCTAAACTCTGCAGGACATCGGCACTCCAGGACCGACGTTGCCTATCCCTGCGATACAAGAAAGTTTCTGAATTGATCTGTTAGAGAGACGAGATTCTCTCCGTAAACTTAAGTGTCTGCTGGTTAATTCTCTCTCTGAGTCTCTTTTTTTTCAAAGAACGTCTCACCTTTTCCGTTGCCACCGGTCAGCAGGTCTCTAGAAGAGGCTTTCTTGATATTGTTTTGTTTTTGAGCCATGTTTAGTTCCTCACATGTACAAAATAAATTAACTTGTGTCCACATGTGTTTTTACACAACATAATAACTTCCGTATTGTTGGGTCGAGCCACTGTTGGCGCCCTCTAGAGTTTTGGATGTACGTGCTGGACGGCAAAAGAACAGTGCTGTGGAAGTTACAACCATAACATAACATAACATAACCTAACAACATAACAACATGGGATGGCATGGCATAGCATAGCATAGCATAACATAACATAACAGCATTACATAAAACCAAACATTTTAGTGTAGAACCTCAAATAACTAAAAGTATAAAATTAATAAAATCTTTAGTAATAGCATTTTCTGAGATTAAAACCACAGAAATTTTAAATAGCCTGATTATTTTATTTCATTTGTTTCGTTATTTTCTTATTTCTTCTAGGGTAGTTTTTATTTATTTATTATTATTGTAAAAATGCTAAGAATCTTTTATTAAATAGCGTTTGATTAGCTGACATGAACTTTTTTGTTTGTTTGTTTTTTTGTCATACCTGACATAGTTTCCTTTGTTTTTGACAAAAATTGACCTCATAGAAATATAGGTTGTCATGCTTGTTTGATGACATTCTTGTTTGACAATATTGGACAAGGATGAAATAATATATATTTTTTAAATTAAAAACATTAAAGAACAGCACAAAAAACCAAGGCATATTAAAAAAATATGTGTTTCAATTTAAGTTTTATGTGCTTCGATGTGATCTCACGAGCCTTTTATTTTGAAATGCGCGCTCGCTCCCGCTGCTGTCGCAGTGGGCAGTGATGACGCGCCGCCGCTGTCATAGAGCGCCAGTCCAGCGATCAGGGAAGAAGAAGCTGAGACTCGTCTCGACGGAACTAAAATATCACGGTACATACATTCCTTTATTATCTTTTCACCCTCCAGAGAAATTGAGAACAACTGCCACACATTAAATAAAGCGCTGCTTTCATTTGACAGTTGAAATGATTCATTATTAATGTTTACCATCAGGCAGCTGGAGAATATTTTAGGATGTTTTGGGGTGATTCCAATGCACAAGTCACCTACATAAAGGTTTAGACATATAATTGAGTATTTTTTATAACCACAAGCCATATAAACTTAACAAATCTGGCATATTTTCTTAGTTTGTCCAGCTGGAAATGCAACCTGTCCTCTCCCTGCCACTACATCACATGTATAATATATTCGTATATCTCAAATAGTATCCGTCAAATGTATGTTTTGTTAATTACAGGCATAATAATCTGTTGTTCTTCGTTTGTTTATTTCCTTTAGGTTTTCTAAGTTCTGAGAACTAGCATTGTTTGTTTACAGACATTTTCCATGTAATGTGTTGTTTATTGTTTTGCCTGCGTGATAATATTGAAATACACTATTACATATTTTACTATTACATATACACTATATATGTTTTATTTATTACTTTTATGTCAAATGTCTGATGGTTAACTTGAAAAAGAACATTTCATACAATAATCGGTCTCCATCAGACAATTAATTTGTGTGTTTTTTTCCCCCAATACACCTCTAATAATTAATGGAAGCTTGTTTCTGCTATGGGATAAAAAAATGTATGTAATTGCAACTTTTTATCTCACAATTCGGACTTTTTTTCTCACAATTGTGAGATATAAACTCGGAATTGTAAGAAAGTAAGTCAGAATTCTAAGTTAATTGCAAATTTTTATTTTATTTATTTATGCAATTGTCATTTGAAAAATTGCAGTTGCCTTTTTTTTATGTTTTCATCCCATGGTGGAAATAAGTTTCCATCAATATTAATACTGAAGGCGTTCAGAAGTTAGTTCGAATATGGTGTACTTAGAAATTGATGTTTAAGTAAATAAAGTTTAGACTGTGTACTAAACCCTATGACTGCCAATTCAGCATCTAGATCAAATAACTACTGCTGACAGACTAAAAGAGAGCATATAATGAGAGTGTGACCTTGAATGTGACACTTTTGTTGATGAATTTCCCTATGTACTTCTCTTTATCAGGTCACTGCGATACTGTCAGCGCTCCGTCATAGCTGTTATGGATGCCACCTGCTGGTTCTGCTGATCTGCTGCTCTTCTCAAAGTCCGGCTGGCCATGAGCCCAACCAGTTCCCATCTGCAGTATGAGCCTCCGAACCATAGGGGGCGCTGTGCTCAGCTACCTGGGCCCTAGTCTGGCAGCTCAGGCTGGAGGAGCCTGGAGCTCCATCTCTTTCAGACCCATACCCTCTTTGCTTCAGACCATGGTACCTGCTGGTTACACCGCACTACAGGAGGAACGGCTGGCCATGGTGGACCTCGGCATGCCTAAGCCTGATTCCCTCAAGAATGGGTTCCAACGCGAGCCCCGCCGCCACTCAGACCGCAGCAGCAGAACATCCATCAGCCTGTCTGATGCCGGAGACGGACACTATGTGGAGACTGAGCCTATGCTGCCTGATGGCAGGCTTTCAGGAGAAGAGGCAGATGAGGAAGAGGAGAGCGAGGAGGAAGGGCAGCAGCAGGCAACTAGAAATATGCCCAAAGAGTCGCCCCTTGCCATGGCATTGCAGATACTGGTGCCCTTCCTGCTAGCTGGGTTCGGGACGGTTTCGGCTGGAGTGGTACTGGATATAGTACAGGTGAGATTTTCAAAACCTTACAGGGAGCATTTTCTCATCTTTACGTTGTTCCAAACCTCTTTGACTTTCTTTCTTTTGCGGAACTCAAAAGAAGGTATTTTGAAGATGTTTTTGTCCATATAATGAAAGTCAATGGGGTCCAAAATCACACTTGACCACAGTGGCTTTCATTTTATAAACAAAAAACACTGAAGCAATTTTCAAAATATCATATTTCGTGTTTCATAAAAGGGATGGACTGACCCTTTAAGTATTAAACTTTGACGTGATTGGACTTACAATTTTAGCCTGGCAGATAATAAAACTGGATTAAAAAAAAAAACAGTCCAGTGGTTCTCAACCTTTTTGACTTCAATATTTGAGGATAACTGGAAGTTTGTTGAGGCCCCCTAATGGGTCCTGGTCCACTGGTTGAGAACCACCCCATAGACCTAATGGAAATCTCTCTTCTCTTTTTTTTCAGCATTGGGAAGCATTTAAAAACATTACGGAGATCTTCATCCTGGTTCCGGCTCTTTTGGGTTTGAAAGGAAACTTAGAGATGACCCTCGCTTCCAGACTTTCCACAGCGGTTAGTATCCTAACTAACTAACAGCTGTTTGCACATAATTGCATCTTGCTTTAGTTTACATTGGGCGTGCCTGTAATTTGATTAGAAGTGACTTTCAGCTCTTATTAGAAGTGCTCCTTTGACGCTAAAGTGCTTCATGATGAGATCTTGGCCCGCTTTGGGCATGCTCTCACCTGTCAGGATGTGACGATTCATGCTAGTGCCCATCTTCACAGACTAGGGCTGGTAATAAAAAGCATATGTCAGTGATAGAATGACTAGCTAGTCTGTTATTATGGTTATGACTCCAGAGGTATTTCCAACCCCCATATGTCTGAGTAAGAAACACACACATAGGTTTTCAAGACATGTAATCAGCATCTTTACTATCTTAATAATTGTGCCTGGTCTTACTGTGCACATTATTTTTATTTTAAAGAATGAAAAAGAATGTATTATAATAATATAATGTATTATAATCTTTTATCAAAGTGTAATAACTTCTTCCACTTCAGAAACATATTTTCTGCTGATGTAACCAGTAATATCATAACAGCTCGTCAACCACAGTGACAGAACATTTTGTCAGCCATATATACACTTTCATCACACACACACACACACACACACACACACACGCATATATATATATATATATATATATATATAATATATGCACTTTCATTACCATTTTTGTGCCAATGTCTTATATACTGTAGATAGTACTATGTATATGTGTGTCAATAATAAAAAGAATAAATACATAAAAAGTAGAAATTATAAATATAATATAAATGTATAAATATAATTTAAGTACAAACTGTGTGTGTGTGTGTGTGTGAATTTTATATATATATATAATTTTTTTTTAAAAATTAATTATGGCACCATTTTTGCGGCAACATGAATTTTGGGGGGCATTTGTCACTTTCAGTGGGATTTTTGCAATAAGCAACATCAGCACCTTAATTCTGACCCTTGTGAAAATGTGTTCCAAATGCTGTTTCATGTTGACTTTAAAAACTTATTGTACATTTAAATTTTCTGTAGTTTACTCAGACTCGGGTGTGTTTATATGTGTGCATAGACAAGTGTAGTTTACATAAGCTAGTTTAGTAACAGATTCTCTCCCACTCTCCTCTCCTGCCCTTTCCTCTGGGCGCTGGAGTCTCTGCTGACAGAGTGATTTAATTTTTTTGGTAGCTAGTGTTTTTTTTTCTTCAGTCCGGGTCTTTAGAGCTCAGAGGGGTTTCAGCTCATGCCGTTTAGCGTCTAGTGTTCTCATGGCAAATCTGCCGTCCCCCCTCGAGGTGAATGAATAAACAAACCCTGGCGATGTGGGCCGAGCAGAGGAGAGGGGCGAAAGTACAGGCCTTCTGTTCACCCTCATGCAGCTGGGGAAAAAAAAAGAAAAACACACACTGAGTTTATTGCCCTCAGACGGCTCTCTCCTACACGCTGCTCTTTCACATTTACATTTGTTTCCTGCATTTTCCTAAGCACACACACTTGCGTGCACACACACACTGGCTCATCAGCCATCATGTTACTCTGTGGGCAGAGATCCATTCCAAACCCGAAATATTATCTTTTCTTCAGATGGTGGTGGTTTTCTTTTCAGTGTAAAATATCCAATGCCAAAACCCAACACTTGGATGTAATTTGGTCACATACTATTTTTTTTTCCTTTTTGATGGTTTTCTTGTTTTAGCTTTTAGGTCAAAAATCAAAAGATTAAAAGAACACATTATATTTTTTATAATATTTTAAGCCTCTTTTTAGGGCCATTTATATTTTCTGTATTGTTATGCTCTTTTCTTCTCTTTTTTTATTAATATAAATTAATGTAATTAATTACATTAAATTCAGTACATCTAATATTACAATGATGTATAAATATGTTACAATTTAAATGTTTATTAATGGTCCTAAATAAAGTTACTTTTTTTTGGGGTGAACATGTTTGAAATATTTATCATTTATCAATGCTTTGTCAACTTTTTACCTTTGCTTTTCCTAAACATATGTCACATTTTAGTGACCACAGTACAGGTGACTTAATGCAATAGTGACCTGTTCATCAATTTTGTTGTCTTTAGGTGAATGTGGGGAAAATGGACTCACCCATAGAAAAGTGGAATCTTATTATTGGAAATTTGGCGCTGAAACAGGTAAGGACACTCGCACGGTTATTTTGCATCAGGGTTTTTACCTGGAAAAGGAACAGAGACCTTATCAAGATGACGGGTTTCCATATTTGCATGGACACTAATAAAACAAAGACAAAGTGAAGTGTCTATATAAGTGTATAAATAAGAAGTAATTAAAGTAATTAACCCCTTAAGCACTGGGGTTATTTAGGGGGTTTCCGCCTGGATTTAGCTTACCCAAATTTAAATGTTTACCCTACACACATACAATGGAGGAAATGGAAAAAATGGTGTCATTGTATAGACAAACCCCTTGAAATACAAAATCAGATTGTAATTCTTCACAAATAACATTATATATGTTTCAAATATTACAATAAAGACAAAATAAAAAAATATTATTTAATATAATCTATAAATAGAATATTAAAATATTTATTTATATATAACTTATATTTTTATATAATATTTCTCATATTTGTTTGTTTATTTTATCTTTAAAATAATAGAAAATAAAAATATAAGAGAAAATAATTAAAAATTAAATTAAATAAAAACTATATTATTGTTTTATATATATATATATATATTTTATTATGCAATATATATATTGTATAATAAAATATACATATTTAAATAAATGAAACCTATTGTTACCTCTGCCAGTCTCTCTTTCTCAGGTGCAGGCCACAGTAATAGGGTTCCTGGCAGCAGTAGCGGCAGTTGTACTGGGTTGGATTCCTGAGGGAAAGTTCCAGATCAGTCACGCCGTGTTGCTGTGTTCCAGTAGTGTTGCTACAGCCTTCATAGCATCTCTGCTGCAGGGTCTGTACTACAGATTAACCTCTAATGCTCTTATATGTAGCTACTAAAGCGACTCTTTTCACAACAAATAATGGCCACCTTGTTATATCGCAATCCGATATTAGTCATGTTTGTTATTAGTAACATTTCACATTATGAATGTCCAGTTTCGAGTGAGTAGGGTAAACACTGTCTCATGCGTGTCCTCTCTCAGGTTTTATAATGGTGGGAGTGATTGTGGGCTCTAAGAAGACAGGCATCAACCCTGATAATGTAGCTACGCCCATCGCCGCCAGTTTTGGGGACCTCATCACACTGGCCATCCTGGCATGGATCAGCCAGGGCCTCTACAACTGCCTAGGTGAGAAAGATGTGTGTGGGTGAAAAGGGCTCTGTTCTAAACCCTAGTGAGCTGCCTACCTAGATAGCATTTTTAGGCATCATAGGCACATTCGATTTAAAATTATGCACCTAAAAAGTACATATGGACAATGTTTCACAGCCTCAAATGAGTCACGTTCACCAGCTATGTAGAGAGCAGACAGCGAGGCAGCTCACTAGGAATTGTAACAGAGCCAGAAAGAGATGTATTTTTTTGCCCCGAATAGATAGTAGGTCAGTTTGATAAATTAGTAGTACTGTAGTTTCTCTCAGATCAGACATGCTTTCAGTTTTCTACCACAAGAGGGCGCAAGAATCCATCACTTTAGACTCCAGCCTTGAGTGAATTACATTTAGATACATTTGTCATAAAGCTGTCTAAAGAATATTATGTGACAATTTTGATCACATTTCAGTCTTTATCTGTCATATTGGAGTGTGATCAGTTAAATATCTTAAACGTAGCGGCACATTTCACACTCTATTGCAGGTGTCAGCAGATGTGAGGTGTGTAAGTTATAGTTTATGGGGCAGTGGGGTTGATATGTTTTATGGGTAGGGTCACGCTGCTAATGAGTCTGGCTCGGGACAATGAGAGTGTTGTGACACAGTGCATGACCTCGCTGGGTCTACGTATCCACATTCTCATGAAATACACACTCACAGGGCTCACTATCTCTCTCTCTCTCTCTCTCTCTCTCTCTCTCTCTCTCTCTCCGTGTGTGTGTGTGTATATATAATTTTTATATTTTGAGATTATGCAAAATTACTTTCTTGTCCATTCCTGTCAGGACTTATATATCATTATATATATATATATATATATATTAATTCATGAGCTTTTTTTAAATATTGATGATCACTTTAAATTTGGTTTTCAACTTGCTTCTTTATGTTTGTGGTGACTTTTTAAAATATTTGGCCCTCACAGGCATAGCCAAATAACCAGTGTCTCTCTCACACACAAACACTACATCTAAAAAGTGTGAAAGTCACACGTGGGACGTCCTGAGCAGCGTTCTGGAGTGTTTATGCTGGGTTTAATGAGGCTTCAGTCCATGATGACTCAGTGTGATAAGCCCCAGACTGGTCCAGACTGAGTGCCGCACTCCTTTTTTAGTCTTTCCTTATTTGAGAGAGGTGAAGTGAGGTGAGGGCAAGGCAAATGGCACCACCGTGCCACGCCAAAACCATATCAGCCATGCCAACCAGCCAAAAAGAGAGGCTTCTGCCATCATTAGCGCACACCGCTGCCCTGTCAGGCCCATCTCACGCTAAATATAGTCACACAGATGTTGCCTCTATGTTTGGGATTTAAAGATTTAGGCTGTTTAACGTGTGATGAAGAGTATTTACCAAAGAGTGAAACCTCTTTTCGCATTGCTGTCTGCATCAAAAGATCTGATTCGTTTTTTAAGAAGATCATTTTTTTCCCTCAATCTGCTTAAATCCAATTAGAGCCAGTCAGTACGGCTACATTTACACAGCAGCAGAATATGATTGTCAGTCCTGATCGGGGCACCACATTCAGATTAACATGAATGTTTTTGAGCGATGCCGCAAAACAAATTGGGAATCCAATCATCAGTCATAGGTTTTGAATTGATTTGAAAAAGAAGAATGTGCTACATAAAAATGAATCAAATTTAAGCGACTATGGAAATGTTGCTCATGAGACAAAAAAGAATCATGAATGTAATGCCATAATCTTTAGGAAACTTAAGCAAATAAAAACCATATTAAATTTATTGTGGTATTCACAGTGTTACTTTTTGTATTGCCAGCAAAATCATTGTGAATAAATTTCAAATGAATGTTCAAAATATTCCCCAACCCCACATAGAAGTCATAACCAAATTCTGAGTGTGAGTTCAATTGATGTGTTCTATTTGAACGAAACCGCAGCTGACAACATGATTTCTGTCATCAACAAGATGTCAGTCATGGTTATTTTTTTCTGTCACTCTCCCATTATGGCTGTCAATCCCTCTCAAGTTTTGAAAAATGGCAGAAAATGGGTTATAGTGTGGTCAGAGTTTCTCACTACTGTCTCTTATGGTAAAATTACAATAAAAAAACATTAAACTTTGAAATATTATCACAACTTAAAATAAGTATTTTCTATTTTATTATATTTTTAAATGTAATTTATTTCTGTGTTGGCAATGCTGAATTTTACTCCAGTCTTCAGTGTCACATGATCCTTCAGAAATCATTATAATATGCTGATTTGTGCTAAGCAACATTTCTTATTATCAGTGTTGAAAACAGTTTCTGCTTGGTGTTTTTGTGGAAAACATAATAGGATTTTTTCAGGATTCTTTGAATAGAAAGTTCAAAAGAACAGCATTTATTTGAAATATTAATATTTTGTTACAATATAAATTGTACTGTCACTTTTGATCAATTTAATGCATCCTTGCTGAATAAAAGTATTTATTTATTTCAAAAAGAAGAACATTTTACTGACCTCAAACTTTTAGATGGTATTGTATAACGTTTTTGGCTAATAACTGAGAGCATGAAAGCAGCGGGAGTGTCCCAAAATGCCAATTTAGAATAATTATTAAATTATGAAAAGTGATTTCATTTTTACAGAAGCGTTTTACTATAAATACAGGATCTGTATTCACTGGGATGCTCCTCTCTGTCTGTTTTATCAGACTCTCACCCATATGTGTCGTCTCTGGTGTGTGCCTTCTTCATGTGTCTGACTCCGCTGTGGATGGTCATCTCCTCCAAACACCCCGCCAGCCGTCAGCTGCTCTACTCGGGCTGGGAGCCCGTTATCACTGCCATGTTCATCAGCAGGTGTGATACACACATACACACACCTCACACAGCTGGCCACGAATTTGCACACACACTGAAAAAGCATGTGGAGCTTCATTTGCCCCTCTATCACAATAACATTTTTCCTTATTTCAGTATTGGAGGACTCATCCTTGACAAAACTGTATCTGATCCCAACCTGGCTGGGATTGTGGTTTACACGCCTGTTATCAATGGTGAGATATGTTATTCTATACAAACATATTCTATGGAGCTTGCACTGTTTGTCTTCTTTTGAAACCTGCAGATAGTACAACACTTGTCAATACTGGAAGATAATTCTTGACGTTTTGGTCCATACTTTCCATAATAGGTCAAACTATGTCAATATCTCAATGTCTTACTTGTCTTTTGAAAGGTTTACGTTTTTAAAACCTTAATTTGTAGACCTTTATTCTTAACGCCCCCATGTCCACAGCACACATTTGTGCTCTCAGCTGATATTTCAGTCCCCTTTCAGACTTTTATTACCTCAGAGAAACATCTCTGTTATAACCACCCTCATTTAAAGTCATGCAAGAATCCTTGTGGCAGATATAGCCAGTTTTGTGATTTTAATTAATGTTTCCGTATTGAGAAAAAGCCAAAGGATGGAATATAACTGAAATAGAGATGGAAGAGATTTAGCTGTAGGGTGAAGTAATTAATTGCGGTAGTTGAGTTTCGCATGGTAACAGGAGAGAAAGCCAGGACCATGGTACCTCCACAAAGAGCCATATGATTTTTAATTAAAGCACACTAATGAGAGACATTTACGCTGTCTGCAGCCTGTCTGTGTTCTCCCGCCCAGACCACCAAAGCTGTTTGAATCTCTGCATGTGTGTGTCTGTGAAAGAAGACAGAAGTTTATATCAGAATATCTCAAAATCAAAGGTCTTATTCTAAGAGTTACTTAGGGACTCAAAACAAAAGGAAATAGTGAAATAGGATGAGTAGCAGAGGCTTTTATGGTTTGTCTGCCCAAACAGGAAGTGAGTCAAGGAAGGTTATTTAAATGATTGCAACATACACACACTCATGTGCCACTTAGGTACAGGAAAATAGTTTCCGTTGTACATAAATAGAGCAAAGTCAGACTTCTCTTATCGCCTCCGGTATGAGGATTGGTCACAGTGGCCGAATGGTTGCCCAACAAGCAATTAGTGTGATTTATCTAGATTGTTTTGTACATCTTTTTTTAGTATTAAGGTTTTTAGTGGCGCTGCTTTAATTAGTATGCTGTGCTTTAGCCGTAAAACATATATGATAAAACCCTCTCAGAAAAGTTATGAATCTTTAAATTCATCCCAATTAAAACTACAGCATCTAAAGGCCTATACATTCAGACAGACCTTTTTGGCTATTACATTGCATCTCGTGCTATTTTTGAGTTAAAAGTAGTTCATGTTTTCTGTTTAAGAAGAATGTTTTTACAAAAAATATACTGGGCTTATTATGAACAAATTAAAAATAAGTCATTTTGCACATCTCAACCAAAACAATGTACATACCGAAAACCAATTGGGCCCATACTAGAGCCCTGCTGCACACCCAGCCAAAAGTCTCATCAGCTCTGTGTCCCAGATTAAGGCGTCCATATATGTTAATCCTGCTGCTTGGACAGAAATGAGGTTGCATATCATCTCCATTTCCTGTTGGCAGACAAAGCTAAAACAAGCATCAGATTAATTGGACCTTTTGCTCCAGGGAAGGTCAAAAAATTACCATAGACTCTTTTCTCATGCCCCCAACTCATATCCAAAATGTCGTGTTGTTGCTTGTTGAGAAAATGAAGAAATTTTAGACCTGACCTGCTAATCTGAACCACAGACACTTGCCCACACACTCCTTCATATTCATACAGATGGCATCTCTCCAGCACTGCCACAGGGATGTGACACAGTGTGGCGTAATGGTAACCTCTGCATTAAACATAAACACAACCTTGTTGGGGCTAATTGTGCAGAAGCCTGAGCTGTGCTAAAAGATAATCGTTCTCCCTCAGGTCTGCTCTTTAACGATGGGAAATGTTATTGCCATTGTGGGCATGAATGCACTACTGAATGTGAGAAATAGATTTGCTGTGTCTTATTGTAATTCAGATTACTGATTTTCTGTTTGGCTGTAACTGAAGGTATACATCTTTTAAATAATTTACATTTCTCTTGACTGTCCACTTGCAGTTGCTAAATATTTTGAGCTGAAAGAACCATTTCTGGTTGTTTTTCCTGGAGTGGCACAGCTTTTTAAAGCAATTCCCAAATCCCCAACAGTTGGTTGATGGATTTGACAGTGTCTTCCTTCACTAAAATCTTTTCTATTATTTTCTTTTCAATCAAAGTGTTTTGTTCTGTTCTATTTTTTTGTTGCATTGTTTAATGTGAGATTCTTTTTTTTTTCTTTCTTTTTTCAGTTTAGGTCTGCTGTTCTATATTGTTTGGTTCTGCTTTATTATATTCAGTTCAATACTATTTTTATTTCTGTTTAATAATATTCTGTTCATCTAGATTCATTCTTTGTGCTGTTCGGTTCTATTTCATCTTTTATTATGTTCCATTCTATTTAGTCCTTTTCTGCTCTATTCTACTCTATTCTGTGCAATTATAATGTCTGCAGTTGTATTTTGTGCTGTTCTCTTCTGTTTGATTTCGTTTTGTTCTGTTTACAAATATCCATTGTATTTTATTATATTTTATTCCATTCTGTTTTGTGCTATTTCAAAAGCAGAGGTTTTAGCTCAACAGAGTGACAAACAAGATGGTGTAAAAAGAGGAGAGAATATGTATGTTCAGTCAGTCTCTGTGTTGCCCGTTCTGTTCTGTCCTCTATCTCCTGTCTCTCTCTATTTCTTTCTTTCTCTCTCCCTCTCACTTGCTTGTCTTCTCCCAGAACCGCTGGGCGTGACATATCGTTACTGCGGCTCTGGACACCACTCTAATTTACTCGGGAGAAAGAGAGAGAGAGAGAGAGAGAGGGGGGAAGGGCTGTGTGTGTTGGCGTGTGAGAGAAAGAAAGAGAGAGATAAAGAGGCGGGGGACAAAAGCAGAGTTAGTACTGGTGACTCATGCCTGCCAGTGGAAAAAAATTAAGCTTGTATTCATGGATTTCACTGCAGAATCTTCACTGATATGAGAGTTATTCACAGGTTAACTTTAAGTCTTAAACGTGTTAGAAACAGGCATACTGCTTATTTCTCCTCATTTATTTATTCAGTTTTTGTCCCTGTACTCTTAGTATATATTTGTATGACGTGTGTACTATTATATTTTAGGTATTGGAGGAAACCTGGTGGCCATCCAGTCCAGTCGGATATCTACCTACCTACACTTCCACAGCACCCCTGGAGAGGTTCCTGACGAGGCCAAGGGTTGCTACTACCCCTGCCGTACCTTCTGTGGCACAGGTAACCCCAACCACTGCCCTAATGTGCTTCTGATTACACCAACATGTGCCCTAGACACACACGCTAGTGCATAATAGATGAAAATATTGTGAAATATAGCCACATTTGACCCTGTAGACTTTTAGAAATTGTATAATCTTTTAGAAAGCTAGCTTTTATAAAGCTAGAAGCGACATCAAGCTTTAAGCACACTTGCTAGTTTATTTAATTTGTCCATGAACAATGTCCAACAGTGAATATTCTGAATGAACCTTCATGAACAAATATCGTTTCCACTACATATCAATTTACCATTCATTCCGTGGTGGAAATGAAATTCTAAACATTTTTGGAGTAAAATGACTCATTCGACTATGGCTTATTTCATAGCATTTTATGAATCCTGAAATAATATTGTCACATTTTCTGAATAATTTGTCACATTTTGACTTGTTTATATTTTTTTACATTATATACAGTATATATATATATATATATATATATATAAAGTATATATATAATGTAAAAATTTATATTTAAAAATATTTAGTATATACACAATTTTATATAAATAATTTTCACACTATAATTTTTGCTATTTTATTGACAGCCAAAGTAGATAAATTGCACAAAAATTATAAAATAATAGGATCAAGGCATGACGTGGCTCAAACCTATACCTCCCGCATGAACACCACAGCTCAATATGTATGGAGCATGTGTGCTAAAGGGCTCCAAACCTCTCGTGTAATTTTAAATCCTCATAACATCCTATAAGGCCTACAAATTTAAGGAGAGTGACTTAAACACACTTTGAAGGCAGTTGTTTTCATAGCCTGTGTTAAAGAGAGCGAGAACCAGTGTTTAGAGCAGCATCCCTTACCAGGGCTTGCAAGTGTGTATGCATTAGCTTTAATAGAGTGTGTGTAACGGTGGTTTGTGTATATCAATCCATCTCGGAGAAAAGCAGAGAACGCTTCCTATAAACAACAGAGGCAGCAGACGGCATGTTGATGTAGGAGCTTTGATGCAGGGCTCTTTCTTAGAGAAACAAGAGGACTCTGGGGACAGAGTCCAGATGCCAAGTACATGAGGTGCACGGTGCCCACTGCAAGCTTAGCAATGCCATGTGGAAAGATGGGCATAAATCTTCCTCCTTCAAGGGCTCTGAGTGCACAGGTATCCCATACTGTGGGGTTGACAGGATGCTAATGGAGTGAGAAATGTAGTGCTTCTGAATGAGATGTTTACTGTATGCATATTCACTTCTAAATATAGAATAAATCAAATATGAACAGCTACATGTGCACAGATCGCACGTTGAGTGTTGTTTGTGTTCTGTGGTGTTTCAGGTGTCTTCATACTAGATGCTTTAAGATGCTTTAAGCTTTAAGATAAATTATTTCACATAATTTAGTTGAAAATGTCTCATTCCGCTCAACCATTCTTTCTTCTCATTCTGCTCAACCATTCTTTCTTTTTTTTCTTTCTTTTTTTTTAAAAGTAAAATGCTAATGCATAATGGTAAAGCTAAAAATTATTGAAAATCATTTTTGTTAATTGAAACAAACCTGAAACCTAAACTTAAAAAATGTAGAACTGTTGCCTTGGCAGCTAAGTGAAATAAACTGTTTCAATTAAGTACTAAAGTTACTAATACTAAAATGAAAGCTGAAGTAAAACTAAATTGAAATATTAAAAAACTAATAAAAGCAGATAACAAATAACAAATATGAAATTAAAAGCTAATTGAAAATATGAATAAATACATATAAATAAAAGTATATAAATAATACAAAAAATGTATGATATTAATAATAGAACTGTAGAATGAGAGGATAAGAAAATAATCAACAGTAGAAACATATCTAGAGTACAACATTTAAGGCTGAAGTTTTTTGAATTAGAATAAAACATTCTGAAATAAAAATGCAGTTCATGACTCATTTAATATCATCTATCTATATGTGTGTGTGTAAAAAATAAAAAAAAATATATATACAGTGGGTACGGAAGGTATTCAGACCCCCTTAAATTTTTCACTCTTTGTTATATTGCAGCCATTTGCTAAAATCATTTAAGTTAATTTTTTTTCCTCATTAATGTACACACAGCACCCCATATTGACAGAAAAACACAGAATTGTTGACATCTTTGCAGATTTATTAAAAAAGAAAAACTGAAACATCACATGGTCCTAAGTATTCAGACACTTTGCTCAGTATTTAGTAGAAGCACACTTTTGATCTAATACAGCCATGAGTCTTATTGGGAAAGATGCAACAAGTTTTTCACAACTGGATTTGGGGATCCTCTGCCATTCCTCCTTGCAGATCCTCTCCAGTTCTGTCAGGTTGGATGGTAAACGTTGGTGGACAGCCATTTTTAGGTCTCTCCAGAGATGCTCAATTGGGTTTAAGTCAGGGCTCTGGCTGGGCCATTCAAGAACAGTCACAGAGTTGTTGTGAAGCCACTCCTTCATTATTTTAGCTGTGTGCTTAGGGTCACTGTCTTGTTGGAAGGTAAACCTTCGGCCCAGTATGAGGTCCTGAGCACTCTGGAGAAGGTTTTCGTCCAGGATATCCCTGTACTTGGCCGCATTCATCTTTCCCTCGATTGCAACCAGTCGTCCTGTCCCTGCAGCTGAAAAACACCCCCACAGCATGATGCTGCCACCACCATGCTTCACTGTTGGGACTGTATTGGACAGGTGCCTGGTTTTCTCCACACATACCACTTAGAATTAAGGCCAAAAAGTTCTATCTTGGTCTCATCAGACCAGAGAATCTTATTTCTCACCATCTCGGAGTCCTTCAGGTGTTTTTTAGCAAACTCCATGCAGGCTTTCATGTGTCTTGCACTGAGGAGAGGCTTCCGTCGGGCCACTCTGCCATAAAGCCCCGACTGGTGGAGGGCTGCAGTGATGGTTGACTTTCTACAACTTTCTCCCATCTCCCGACTGCATCTCTGGAGCTCAGCCACAGTGATCTTTGGGTTCTTCTTTACCTCTCTCACCAATTTTTTTTATTGGTCTTATGGAGTATTCTAATTTGTTGAGATAGTGAGTTGGTGGGTTTTTGTTAAATGTGAGCCAAAATCATCACAATTAAAACAAACAAAGACTTAAACTACTTCAGTCTGTGTGCATTGAATTTATTTAGTACACGAGTTTCACAATTTGAGTTGAATTACTGAAATAAATGAACTTTTCCACGACATTCTAATTTATTGAGATGCACCTGTATATATGTATATAATCAAATTAAAGGGTGTCGTGAATAATTTATAAAACTATAATATATATTTTTAAGTGATCTATATATTTGAATTTTATGAAATGTATATTTTATTTAGTATTTTATTATGTCATTTATTGGTGGGGCTAATGAGGCAATAATGTAGAAGTAGGCGTTGATCTTTAGGCGATCATACTGAGATGAAATATGAAGCAAGCCATTTTGGCAGCTTGATTTTAATAAAAGCTGTTTTTGGAATTACAAGGAAGTTTTAAAGGGTTAGTTCACCCAAAAATGAAAATTATGTCATTAATTACTCACCCTCATGTCGTTTCAAACCCGCAAGACCTTCGTTCATCTTCGGAACACAAATTAAGATATTTTTGATGGAATATGAGAGCTGTCTGACCCTGCATAGACAGCAACGCAAATGAAATGTTCCCAAGTCCAGAAACGTAGCAAGGAGATCTGTAAAATAATCCATGTGACATCAGTGGTTCATCCGCAATTATACGAAGCTACGAGAATACTTTTTGTCCGCAAAAGAAAAACAAATAACCACTTTATTCAACAATTCGTCTCCTCCGCATCACCCTGTAGCGCCATTTTGGAGAATATCAGCTGGACGTAAACACGTACGCTGTTCTGTGTCATATATCTTAATGTGTGTTCCGAAGATGAACGAAGGTCTTACGGGTTTGGAACGACACGAGGGTGGGTAATTAATGACAGAATTTTCATTTTTGGGTGAACTATCCCTTTAAGTTCTGAAACTTGCAGGATGTGTTTATAGTACAATGACCTTTTATGTCAAAAGATCAGGGAACATTTGATTTCTCAGTTCATGACCCCTTCATTGTCATCATTATTATTGTTATTTAGATTATATATATTGATTTTTAAAATGATGCATTTTGTTGTTTTTTCCTGTCTTTTTCAGGAGCTAATCATAGGTCAGCACAGGTACTGCTGTTACTGGTCATCCCTGGTCATTTGATCTTCCTGTACACCATTGATCTGATGGAAAGGGGTCACACCTCACTTACGCCCGTTTTCATGGTCGTGTATTTAGCTGCCGCTCTTTTCCAGGTGAGCGTGACTTGTTGCCATACTATGACAAAAATAGAGCCTTCTATCCGAGTGTCAAGGCACTGACATCTTCACATTTATTTCCATGCTGTTTAGAGAACCTGTCATCACTATGTCTTTTTATTAAATCTGACACCTATTTGAGGCTCGGCTGTAAGCACTATTTCCTGTAGCAGACGAAAATGTCAGCCTATAATCATAAAACCAGACACCCATTTTATGATACCGGTCTGGGGAATCTATTTCATCTTCAGTTTAATCGCGATGAATGTGCCGCCAGCAGCCCACATGTAACAATGTTACAACATGCATTTTTTTTCCCATCATAAACCTACAAGCCTTTTAGAAAATCCCTAGAGCTTTTAGACGCCCCATTTCCCCTCTGAATGAAGCAGTGATGACATTAGCGATAGTGAGCAGGTGTTGTTTGTGTGTGTAGGTGGGTGTGTATGTCTCTGTGAGTGTTTGGTTATTCCAAAAGGGTGTTTTCATAAATTGTTTGGATTGCAATTAAGATCGATTACCCGCAGAGAACCTCAGTAAGTGCATTCAGCGGCTGGCATGTGGCGGCATGTTGCGAGCATGTGGAATGTGTGGTATTTTTAGGAAGTTTGTGTGTATGTGTACATTGTACGTAAAACACCCTCTCTAACCTGAACACACACACATTTCTTTGAGATCCACAGCTGCACTGTTTCACTTCAAAGCCGTTTGAAGGATCCTTGAGGATGGAGAGAGAGAGAGAGACATTCTAATGGCATTCAGTGGGGCCATTTATTGGGTTATAATGCTGCTCAGATATTTATTTTGTGTATCTTATTTCTAAAAACAAACTTTTGTCAAATTGTATAAATCGATTGTAGTACATTTGCACAAATTTGTATTTTAAATACTATTTATTTAACTGTAATTCAACTAAAATATACTTAACTATAATAATGAAAGTTTAAATAATGAATAATGAATAATTAATTTAACTATAAAATAATACATTAATATATATATATATAATATATTTTTTATATTTTTATCACAGAAAGCAAGAAATAATATATGAAACCCTTATATGGCTAAATTATGCTTCTCAAATTTTTCTTCAAACAAAAGTTCCCTATTATTAGTCTTCACCAGCTATAGCTTGGCTTGTTGAACATATGTCTAGTGCCCTGAAGTGGCCCCCTGACCTCTGACCTTCAAGTACAAGGCATCTATAGAATTGCAGAAAGAGTCTGCGTTTGAGGAAGAAATTCTAGGGTTAAATGAAGTTCCCAGTATATAGCTGTTAAGTATTTTTGGTGACGCTGTGCAGAGGGGTCTGGATATTGGATATTCACATGCCTCTCTAGGGACATTTTTTCCAATGAGGCAATGAAGACCTCCAAAAACTTTTCTCCAAAATCTTTTGTAACAATATTTATTTATTTTCACTTTTTATCAATTTAACATTTCCTTGCTGAATAAACGTATATTAATTTCTTAGTAATGACCCCAAAAGCTGTTCTTTTTAACTCAGGTTCCAAAAAAATATTAAGCAGCACAGCTATTTCCAACATTGATAATAAATGAACATATTAGGATAATTTTTGAAGGATCATGTGACACTGAAGACTGGAGTAATGATGCTGAAATTCAGTTTTGCCATCACAGAAATATGAATTACATTTTAAAGCATATTAAATTAGAAAACTGTTAATTTAAATTATAATAATATTTCACAATATTAGTTTTTACTGTATTTTTCATCAAATAAATGCATCCTTGATTAACATAAGAGACTTCTTTTAAAAAAAAAAAATAAAAAAAAATATTAGATGTTTGAACGGTTGTATGTACCTATGCAAATAAGCTCCACTAGAGCTTATTTGCATAGTTAAATGTAGGTTACAAAGACATTTGTTAACTATTATCCAAAAAGAAATACATGTTACCTATTATTCTAATGTGGATGTCATCTTAACTTTTAATGTCTATACGTTTGTCTCTCCAGGCTCCACCACTACTGCTGGATTGACTCCAGCCCAGTCTGTTACCAACTCCAGCACACCTGTGAATCCACAGGAAGACCCGTCTGCGACCTCCACCGTCAGCACGGCCACCTACCAGGCTGTCCCACCGCCAGTGACTGGCTATTATAATCAGTACACCCAATCCTATTCACAATTCAAAAAGCCCCTCAATCAGGGCCAGAATCAGACTC